TCCCTGAATGCATTGCCTGGCCAGGGTGGCCCCTTGTTGCAGATGGACCCAGCCAAATGGGGTCTGATGAGAACCCACTGGCTTGGCAGCCAGCCTGGTGCAGTGGGGTTGGTGACTATGAATCATAAGAGGTTTTATTCATTCATTCATTCAGTGAAAACCCAGCTACCTGCAAAAAAAAGCTCTAACCTGAGACATGGGAACTGGGGACTTGCCCATGTCAAACTCTGACCAGCACCTGGGTGTGGTGGCTCATGCCTGTTATCCCAGCACTCTGGGAGGCTGAGGCAGGAGGATCACAAGTTCAAGGCCAGTCTGGGCAACTTGGCAAGACTTTGCCTCAAAATAAAATATAACAAAAGTGTTGGGGATGTAGCTCAATATGAAGGCTCTGTGTTCACCCCAGTACCCCATCAACACCAATAAAACACCCTGAACAACTTGGGACAAATCTTCCTGGGGGCCCTGTTAACACAGCGGAGGGGTGAGCCCACATATCGCTGTGGACTCACCAAGAACCTGAGTGAGCCGTCATGGCTGGAGCTGGAACTGGAGCTGGGGAAAGAACCCTCCCCCTCCCCAGCAGCATGGACACCCTGTGCCCAGCTTGGATCCAGTCCCCCAAGTCTGGTGAGTGCTTGCAGCCCAGGGGCTCAGTCCCCTGCACCCCCGCTGCACAGCCCAATTCTGCCACTCAGCAGGTGCTCGGGACAGGCCTGTCGGCTGGGCCCACAGAGGGGCCCTCCAGCATTTGCCCAGGGAGTGGGCACAACCCCCTGGGGTGACCTTGGGGAAAATTAAGATCTCCACAGTGCCCAGAACAGTCCTCGCCAAGCAGATCAGCGAGACCCGCTCAGAGGTCCAGCCGCCCGGCACCCCGCCCTGAGGCCTGTGCTCCGCCCAGGTGAGGGGTGAGACTCTGAACCTGCGGCTCTCTCCTCGCTGCAGGCCGTGCCCCTGTGTGTGGTGTGCTTCTTGCTGTGAGACCTGCTTTGGCTGATGGATGCTAGGAGGCTGGTGCCACAAATATTTCAGATGCACTTGTGGGGTCGGCCTCCTGCCTTGCAGCTCTGGCACTGCCACGAGACGAGCCCCACCAGGAGCCTGCTGTTCCCTCCACCTGGCCCCAGAACAGACCCATGGGGAGCAAGCCTCAGCCTACTCTACATTCTGGAATCAAGCCAGACTACAGCAGTGAACATCAAGAAAAGCCACAGGCATGAGAGCAAAACAGTAATAATAACTGCTGGAATGCCACTCAGTTGTGGGATAGCTCGTTACACAGCAGTACCGTGACTCTCACTGACCAGTGCACCATCTGGTCACAAGGACTTGGAAGGAGACTCTTGTCCCTGTGAATAAGCAGCTGAGATTTTGAGATTCAGGGAAGCCTGGAACAGGGAAATGGGAAAGTAGGAGAAGTGTTTCCTCTGCATCTTCAGAATCAAGTTCACAGGAGGTGGGTGTCGCTGCTCACCTGCATTTGCACATTCCCTCTTCTGAAGTCACTCAGGCTTAATCAGCTCCTCCTCTGCCTGCAGCTGCTGCTGTGCAGACCTCTGTTAGAGCACTTGGTACACTGGCCGGCGCTGCTCGAGAGCTGGGCAGGGCCCTGGAGGTTCGGGGGTGAGTAAGAGACCTCTGCTGTTCTCGGGGGACCCTGAGCTTGTGACGGGACGTGTGCAAGCCACCATCACTCATCTGTGACACAGGACGCTCAAAGTGCAAGGGGACCTAAGCTAATTGTCCAGCTGTAAAATTAGTTAAATAAATTGCCTGCATGGGAGGAATATTATACCGTTGTTTCAAAAAATGAAGGTGGGGCTGGCCTGTAGCTGGGTAGTGGAATGCACAGGAACAGGAAAGCAAGTCTACGTACTGACAGGAAACACACCCATATTTCATCTATACAATATACACATGTGTATACACATGTTAGATGTATGTACACATATGGGTTCTTTTTATAAGAACTGATAAACCAAACCATTAGTAGAGAATAACTAAAGTAAGGTTATAAGACTCTCGGGCCAGGGATGTAGCTCAGTGGCACTGTGGCTTCCTTGCAAGCAAAAGGTCCTGAGTTTGATCCCTGGTACCCTCCAAAAACAAACAAACAAACAAACAAACAAAGAGTCTCTAATCTCTAGTTTACACACTTCAGGGTTCTTAAAATTGCTCTGACAATAAGGAAGGGGGTCGGGGATTTAGCTCAGTGGTTCCGGCTCCTGCCTTCCAAGCACAAGGTCTCAAGTTCGAGCCCCGGTACCAAAAAAAAAAAAATTTCTCTTGACAAGTAACATGTAATTATGACAGTGTGATATGCAGAATTCTGAAAAAACAGGTCCGTGGAGCAGGAACAGCAGTGCAAAGGCCCTGAGGCACACCGTAGCTTGGCTGGTGCAATGAACAGCAAGTACTCTGGAACTGGAGTGTGGTGAAGGAAAGGAGGTGGCAGACCAGCCTCGGTACAGGGCCGGGTGGCACAGGACCTTTCAGGCCACAGTGAGGACAAAGACTTTACCCTAAGCGAGACGAGAGCTGCAGGAGGCTTTTAAACAATGGTATCTTATGATACGCCCTATGCTTTAAAGAGATCACTCCGACTACCAAGAGAGCCAGGAGGCAAAAGTGGAAGGCGGCAACTGGCTCAGAGGTGGTGGCAGGGATCCCGCGTGGAGACGGCCACGACCTAGGCCAGGGCAGCGTAAGAGCCACAGTCTCTGTGTGATGCACACTAGACGGTCCGGCCAAGCACTGAGCTAAGAGGCCCAGGGGACGGACCCACATTTTGCCTGGGGAAGAGGCAGGTGAGCAGGGGTGGGAAGCTGTGGGGAAATGGGAGCCAGGAGGCCGCATCAGGAGCAGGGAGGACCGCAGTTCAGGCAGGGAGGGAGCCTCTCTCCGAAGTCAGCGCAGAGGTCCCCAAGAGGATGAGGGGCCCCAGGCCACACTGGGGCCCTTATGTGACCTCCCTTGAACTCAGCTCAGGTGCAAATCCCAGCTCCCCTGCCTCCTCCCTGTACGACCCCTCTATGCCTCAGTTTCCTCACCTGTAAAAGGCAGGTGACACAAGTCAGTGTGTGTGAAGGAGACCAGTGCCCAGCGCCTGGTCAGCACTGGGTGAAGGGTCACCTGGCAGAGGACAGGACGCCAGGAGGGAAGTCACAGACTAGACACAGCTGCTCTGCCCTGAGTAGGGTGGGGCTGAACAGGCTGCCCATCTCCCTGCCCCTCCGTGCCTCATCTGTGGAGGGAAGGGGGTTTGTGTATGGGCATCAGGGGCCCAGAGCCCACAGGCAGGGCTGTGCGCACTGCGCTCTCGGGGTGCACGCTCATACCCACCACCAAGCAGACCAGCCACGGAGGGAGTGCTAAGGCACCTGACAGGCCGCCAGTCCACGAAAAGCCTCCTGCAACTCAGTGTGCCCGCAAGCTGCTCAGCCACCTTGTAAACGTTTTATCTACACCACCAGAAGGCCCTCAGAGCACCTGCCAAGCCCTAAAAGTAAAATCACAAGGCCAGTAAAGCCGAAAGACACACATTCCCAGGGCTCCAGAGGTCATAAAGGAGCAGGAAGAAAGGTCTGCAGCGCCTGCACCTGCCACTGTGCCCCAGCACACACACAAGGCTGCACATCCACAAGTGCACCAGGCACGCACACAGTCCACACGCGTGCACCAGGCACATCTGCACACACGTGGGCACATTCTCCTGTGCGGCGTGCACAGCTGTTTGCGAGTGTGCGGCTGGGCTGTTCCTCAGTCGGGTGCCTCAGGGGCAGCCACGTGAGCAGCCGCACAGGACTCGGGCACCAAGATGCCGAGGGTCCCGAGGGGCGGCACCTGCAGCCTCCCCCTGCGGGCGAGTGACAGTGTCCCTCAGGCCCTGAGTCCCACTTGGCTAGAGCTCTCCCAGGAGACGTCGTCTGCAGGCAGGAAGGCTGCAGCCTCCACGACACACAGCCCCTTGTCCCCTCTGCCTCTGCCAACTCCTGCAGGGAACCACAAGCCCAGTCCCACCCGCCGCACATGGCCAGAGTGGCCACGTGTCCTGACTTAAGAATTCCCCCCAGTCAAGCACCCCAACACTCTCTGTGTTGGGACAATTATTATGACCGGGCATCTGCCTCAGTTTCCTCTCCCGACCCCCAGGGCCAGAGTCCTGGCTGAATCTGCAGGCCTTTGAAGAAGCCTGCATACCTGTCTCTCAGTAGCCTTTCTCCTAGGTGGCAGGGGCAGGCAGCCGGGGACGTGACCACCTTCCCCAGTGTCTCTGTAGCAGGTCATCCTACAGTACGGATTCTCTTGTTCTTCTATAATTTAAAAAAATGACTTCTAAATGAGTGCAGCATTGCCAGTATAAAGACCAAGTTTCCCAGCTCCTTTGTAGCTGAGTGTGGCCATGTGATAAGTTCTGGCCGAGGAGATAAATGCAGGTGTTGGGAGGCAAATTCTGGGAACCTTACATTTGCCCCGCAGCCTCCGCCCTTCCCTCAGCATGCTGCCTGAAATGCAGTTGTGATGGCTGGTACTCTGGCCACCATTTTAGACCATAAAGACAAAGGCCATGGAATGAAGGAGCAGGGCAGCAGGAGTCTGGGTCCTGAGGGCTTCATGCAGCACAGCCTCCTGGAAGTGCCTGCTTTCAAGCTTTTATAAACACATTAATAATTTCCTCCATTGAAGCCAGCTATGCAACAGTATTACTTGCAGCTAAGCCTAATCCTGACCGCTGTCTCTACCACCTGAGCTGTGGGATCACTCAGTTACAGCCTTACCACTCTGAACACCACTGCTGTGCTGGACTAAGGGCAGGTAACGACCTAGGACCATCCACAGAGCAGGGCCAGATGCTCCCCCACCCCCTCCCCAAGGAACTCACTGGACAGCAGCACCGCCTGCTTGGGGATGCTGGGAGGAAACACCCACCCCAGAGCTGGGGAAGCCACAGGGTCTCAGCAAGGGCATGGCGGGCATCCTGGGCCAGCCACACTCACCTTTCTCCGACGCTGGGGCCAGGTCAATGAAGCTTCGGCATTCTTCCCCTTTGAAAAGAGAAAAAGGGATTTCAGAATTTGAGGGCAGACGACTTAGGCTTCTGCCTGTTTCTCCCCGGTGTCCTGCAGCGAGCCAGCATCTCTAATCCGACCCTGGGATAGCTTTGGAACCCTTCCTGCCAGCAGCTGGTGCCTGCCATGGGGGTGGCAGGTGGCAGCTGCAGGCCCTTTCCTCCTAGCCAGTCTGACGTCTGCGGCCTCCACTGCCCAGCCCTGCAGCCCAGCCTGACCCTCACTGTCACCCCAGGCCTGTGTTCCAGTCTCACCAGTGCCCTGCCCATACTGCCGACAAGCCTCGGTAAGGAGAAAGTCCCAGTCCCCAGGTGTGGACCCAGGCCCAGCCTCTCCCAGCCCGAGCACACCACTCTTGCCTGCTCCCTGGGCCGGCGTACAGCTCCGTCCCTCCTCCAGGCCCTCCTCTGGAACACACCTCCCCCAGGAGAGCTCAGGAACCCTGGCATTCCTTCTAGGGCATGTCCAGTCACCTTCACACTCTGCCCTTGCTTGTGAGATTCTTTTTTGTGGTCCTGGGAGTACACCGAATACATCCCTAACCCCTTTCTCGTTTTGAAACAAGACCTCACTAAAGTCATCGAATGACCCAGGCTGGGCCTGAACTTGTGATCTTCCTGCCCCAGCCTTGTGTGGATGCTTATTAATGTCTGTTTCTCCCCAAGCTGCAAACCCTGTCAGGACAAGGGCTAGGCGCCGTCCCTGCTTTCTGTCTCCCTCGCACGACAGCGGAAGCGCGGCCCGTTTCCGGGGCATTGCGGCCCCCACGCCGAAATACGTCGTCCGCCCCACACAGGATGTGAACACCGGAAGCGCATCCCCCGCCAGCGCGGAGTTCCGGTGTTGTCAGAGAAGCAGACCTGGCCCACGCACCGCGCCCCACAGCCTCCCCGCAGGCCCGGCAGACGTGTCCCTCAGTCGGCCCCGACACCTGCCTTCCCCCGGCCTCCCTCAGAGCAGCAGCGGCGGCGGCGGAGACACGGGCTAGGGTCACCCCCGGGTAAAGAGAGCCGCCACCTTAAAGATGTCACTGCAGATCCCGAAGAGGGGACGGAGTCAGCCAACGTGGGACCCATGTGGAGTGGCCTGGAGGGCGGAAGAAAAGACCCGGACGCTTCCCGCAAGTCTCAGCCCAGTGTGTGCTTGGAGCCTCCTTCCCTGCGCAGCCCCGCGCCCGCCCGCCCGTCCGCCCAGATCACAGGCTGAGCGCCGCCCTCTCAGCTCTGTCACCCCTGCCAGAGGACCAGGAGCCCACAGGGGCTGGCAACTCTGCGGTGGCCGCCCCGCGCCAAGCGTGAGACCCGCACCCTGCTCCGTGGATGGAAACCGGAAGTCCCAGAGCTCCTCAGCAGTCAGCCTGGCCTCTCAGCCAGTCTAACCCCAGCAGAAACTGGGGTGCCGACAGCCGGCCACAGGAAAGGGGGCCAAAAGGAAAGACAACAGTTCTGTGCTGAATTTTGAGTGGTTTTTAAAAAGTGTATTTAATGTTGCATAATTTTCTCAAAAGTTCAAGGAAGTAAATTTAAAGGACAGATTGAGGCCAGCACGACGAGCATGCTGGTGGGAGGGGTGAGCACTTTTGCCTTTATGGGCACCCTCCTACATAAAAACTAAAATTACCCTGGGAGCAGTGGTGCCCACTTGTAATCCCAGCTACCTAGGAGGCTGAGGCAATAGAATTGCAAGTTCAGGCCCAGCCTGGGTGATTTAGCAAGATGCTATCTCAAAATTAAAAATACACACTGGGAAGCTTAGCCAGGCGGGTCACAAGTTCAAGTCTAACCTAGGCAATCTAGAAGCAAGACCCTGTCTCAAAATAAAAAATAAAAAACGGCTGGGGAAGTTACTCTGGGTGAAGCCTCTAGGTTCAATCCCCAGTATCAGAGAGACAGGGAGGGAGGGAGGGAGGGAGAGAGGAAGGACAGAAAGGAAGGCTGGAAGTATAGCTCAGTACAAACAAAAACTAAAATTAAAATTTATAACCACACTGGTATAAAGGTGAATATGTTAAGCATTAAATATTTTCCTCATATGAAAGTTTAATTTTTTCTCTCTCCTGATTTTAAAAGAAGTTACACCTCTGTGTGACATGTGGGAGTGCCTGGGCCCCAGTTCTTGTCCCCCAGCCTCAGGCACACAAGACCCCACTCTCCCCTACCAGGCCTGCTCCCACAAAGATGGGGCTCCCTGGGAATATTTAAGATTTATGTGCGAGGCATTTGCCTTCTCTCTTCTTTAACAGTTTGCTGGAGACATAATTCAAATGCCATGTCATTAATCTATGTAAAATGTGCGATTCAGTGATTTTAGAGCATTCATACTATATTCACCAGGCTGGGTGACCATCCTCATAATCAATTTTAGATCGTTTTTATCACCCTAAAAAGAAGCCCCATACTTGTTAGCATCAGTGCTCACTCCCTCCAGCCCTGCCAGCCCTTAGCTACAACTAATCTGTTTTCTACATCTATTGATTGGTCTAGTCTGGGCGTTTCACGTGAATGGAATCATGCACTCTGTGGTCTTTGGAGACTCGCTTCTTTTACTTGGCATAATGTTTTCCAGGGTTATCCGTGGCGTACCCTGCATCAATGCTTCATTTTATCCCATTGTATAGATGTGCAGTAGCCCTCCCTTATCTGTGGTTTTGCTTTTTGCTGTTTCTGTTACCTGTGTTCAACTGAGGTCAGAAAATAGTAAATGGGAAATTGTAGGAATAAAAAAATTCAGAAGTTTTTGATTGTTCACCATTCTGAGTAGCAGATGACGTCTGACACCCTCCCACTTGGCCTGCCCATCCCTCTCTCCAGTTATCCTCACTGTATATGATGCTACCTGCCAGGGAGTCACTTAATGGCCATCTCGGTTGTCAGGTCAACTATCCCAGTGTCACAGGGCTTGTGTCCAGGAACCCTTATTCTACTTAATAATGGTCCTAAGAGCAGGGATGCAAAGGAGGCACCAGAACATAAGACATGGAAGGACAGATGAGCTCTGGTACTATGGGGCACCGCTGCAGGGCAGATAGGGGAAGGAATTGAACAGTGCCATCTAGGATTTCAGCATCCACCAGGCGTCTTGGAACCCCCCTAGATCCCCTGAAGATGAAAGGAGACTACTGTACCACATACATTAGTGGATGGATATTTGGGGTTGTTCCCTCTTTTTGCCTATTTATAAACATTCATGTAACAGAGTATTCTGTGACCAAGTTTTTATTTCTCTTGAGTATTTTGGGGGGAGTAGAATTGCTGGGTCTTGTGGTAACTGTATTTAATCTTTTGAAATGTTAGGCTGATTTCCAAAGGTAGTGCACCATTTTACATCCCCACCAGCAATGAGTGAAGGTTCCTACCTCACTTTTTGCCAACACTTGTTACTGTTTATCTTTTTTCACTAAAAGTATCCTTACAGGTATCTTATTGTAGTTTGATTGGCATTCCATTTCTCTAATGACAAATGATGTTGAGCATCTTTTTTATGTGCTTATAAGCCATTGATATATCTTCTCTGGAAAGATTCAGACTCTGTCCATTTTTAAACTGAGTTATCTTTTTATTATGAATTGTAGATCTTTATATAGTTTACATACAATTCCCTAATCAGATGTCTGATTTGTAAATATGTTCTCCCATTCTGCAGGTTGTCTTTCCCTTGTCTTGATGATATCTGTTAAACTGCAGGAGTTTTATGTTTTAATGAAGTCCAGTTCATCTGATTTTTCCATTTGTTGCTTGTGTGTGTGTGTGTGTTTTGTTTTTTTTGTTTGTACCAGGGATCGAACTCAGGATCTTGTGCTTGTGGGGCAGGTGTGGCACCACTGAGCTAAATCCCCAGCCACCTTGTTGCTTGTGTTTTGGTATCATATCTAAGAAAGCTTTGCTTAACCCAAGATTATGAAGACTTACTCCTTTCTTCTTGGAGTTTTACAATTTTAACTCTTCCAGTTAGGTCTGTTATCCATTTAAAGTTGATTTATTAGTACGACATATAAAAGGGAACCACATTCATTCTTTTGCATATGGATATCTTGTTCTGGCACTGCTTGTTGAAGGACTATTCTTTCTCCACTGAATTTTATTGGTACTCTTAACAAATTAATTGCCTATAAGTGTGTTTGTTTTGTACTTTAAATACCACTCAATTGATATATATGTCTGTCATACATCAGCACTACATTGTCTTGTTAGCGACCTTGATTTTTAAGTTCATTTTGGCGATCTTAGGTCTCTTGTATTTTGCTATGAATTTTAAGATCAACTTCTCAATTTCTACCAAAAAGCAAGTTGGAAAATTGATAGTCATTGCACTAAAACTATACATCAATTGAAGGAGTATGATCATCTTAATACTAAATTTTCCAATCCATGAACATGGAATACCCTTTCATCTACTTAGATCTATTTTAATTCTTTCAACAACGTTTTGTACTTTTCAGATTATAGGTTTTCCACTTCTTTTGTTAAATTTATTCCTATTTTCTTATTTTGATATTATAAATAAAACTATTCTTAATTTGATTTTTGAAATTTCACTGCTAGTGTATAGAAATATAGGTTTCTTAGACCCTGCAATCTTACATTAAAAATTAAGTAGTTTTTAATGGATTCTTAGGATTTGCCAAACAAGAGCATATCATCTTCAAAGATCATTTTACTTCTTCCAATCTTCATCTCTTGTTTCTTTTTCTTGAGCAACTACTTTGGCTAAAACTCACAGTGTAATGTTGACTAGGTGTGGCAAGAGTGAACATCTTTGTCTTGGGGGAAGCACTCTTTCTTATACCATTAAGTTTTTGGTTGGTTGGCTGTGGGCTTTTCACTTATGTCCTTTATCAGGTAATGTCCTATTCCTAGTTTGTTGAGCAGCTTTATCATGAAAGAGCATTCCCTGTCTATTTTAATCTGGTAATGACCTGAAATGTACCTCTAAAACTCCCCATTTAAAATACAAACTACCTGAGGCTCTAAACTTTCAGTGACTTGCCCAATACCACACAGCCAGTAAATGACAGTGCAGGACACAACCCAGGTCCATACCCTCCATGCCCTAAGATACACCTAGCTTTTCATTCCTACTAGAACCAGCTGCTCCCGCTGCGTATAGCAGTTGGCTACTCTAAGGGTTCTCTTGGGAGCAAGCTGTGCAGGTAGGGGCAATCCCCAGGGACTAAGTGAATGGCTCTCACACTTCCTTGTCTGCTACATGGACAAGTCTGAGCAGATGTTCCAGCAGATATGGTCAAATAGCCCACACTGCCTATGCAGGGCAAAGCTGAAACTCAAGGGAAAATCATAGCGATAACAGGAGGAAGATGGCCATGAGTTTAACAGCTGAAATCTAAACACACAAGATTTTTTTCCCTGCAGTTCCTTAGTCTCCATGGTAAACTTTGGCTAAGCATTCATGAGAACAATATTGAACTGCACCATACTGACTTACTGCTTCTAGAAGTGGGCCTTAAACATTAACATCATTGTGTCAGCTATTATTAAGTTGATGCATTTAATTAAGGGGTTCCTTTTGGATTTAAAATTAAGACAAGTGCTCTTTTCTCTCCATCACGCACACACTTAAGCCAGAGGCTGACAATCAGATCACAGCGCTGTGGCACTCTATCGCCACCTGATGGCAGTGTACCTTTCTTGACCCATGGAGTGTGGGAGAGGGGAAGGACCCTAAAGGTCATCAGTATAAGTGGTCTTAGCCTTTAGAAGCTCAGGCCCTACTCCCAGAGACTGATTTAGTTGGTTGGGGCCTAAACCTCAGTA